TACATTTCATTCTTTATTGAGCTCATTAAGAGATTTCATGATGAATTTTAAGAAATAAGACCGAATTGAGAGTTTTTTCAACCTCCAGCCTGAAATTTCGCAAGCGTATGCTTTCTAAAATCCTTGTGTACACTAGATTGGTGATCCGAGCTACACAATAAGAGTGCTCAAAATTAAAAGAGGTCACTCAAAAGGCCCCATGAGATACCCTTTCTGCTTCACTTAACCCCAAAATAAAAATCAGTCACATTGATTGATAAGTTGCAAATTGGGGCAACTTTTGCTTGAAAATGTTCGCGGTGTCTAATCCGATTCAATCACATCTAAGTGAAAGCAAAAATGTGCATTATTCTTGTTTGTTTTGAAAATTTGGAATGATACTTCGAGCATTCTTTTCTCTACCTATACACATTTTATCATTTGCTCTCCCATTTGAGCCTTTGAAAGAATAATTTCGTTTCAAATAAGAGCCTTGATGATCACTACCCTACATTGGAAATTCTTAGATATCAAAAAGGGGAATGGATTTTCAATGACCATTTCGTTACTTTGGTTGTCATGAGGTGTAAGAATGATACTTTGGCCATCGTTTCTATAACCTAAACACCATTTATCCCTTGCATCCTCATTTGAGCTAAAATTGGTGGTTCTTTTCGAGTGCACATATGATCGTACCCCACATTGGGGAAGGAGATTGGGAAATTTTGAAAAAAAGAGAAGGAAAAGGGGAAAGGGAACCGCGAATTGGGGAAATTTGATTCTACCTGGGTTTCAATTTGAAAAGAAAAGAAAAGAGAAAAAATGACAAGTTCTGTCCGGCGGATCACTTATGTTTCATAAATATGGATGAACAAGGGTCTTCCTCAGTCAGTTAATTCAGATACATGCCAGAAATTTCGCATTAATGAAAGTTTCCTTTCAGAGTTATTGTAAGGAACGGAATACAAGTCAGGCCATCTTCTTTTCCAATCAAACATTCTATCCCTAGTTATCCCTTTTGAGCCTTCAGAATAAAATACTTTATTTGGCAACCCCTGAGAATCGCAAACCCCACACTGGACAAGTTTGAGTTAGAAAAGAAAAAGTTTCAAGAAGTAAAAGTGAAAGGCCACAAAATCAAAAGACAAAGAAAGAAAAGAGAACCTCAGTTCAAAAATAAACTGGGGCAAATTTTGTGAAAATTCAAAAGAATGGCAAGAGGCCGGAAAATCAAAAGAAGAAAGAAAATAAAAGTGAAAAAGCCTCAATTGAGCATAAACTGGGGCAAATCCTGATTTAACCCTAAAATAGGGTTGGCGCAACAATGCGATCTCAAATTCTTTAAACCACTTTTGAAATCCGCTTTCAAGCCTTAACTTTTCTAAGCACCCCACCTGACCCCATTACAAAGCCGAAAGTCCTGACTTCTGTTCTTTGCAATTGCCTGTCAAGAAAATTTCTGATGCCGGAAAATTTTAGCTGTATTTCTGAATTGCTTGGGTATGGGGCTGACGCTACTCACCATGAGAAAACCCACCAGGTCGAGGAAAAGAAAAGGAAAGCGAAAAAACAAAGCAAGAAAAGAAAATGCAAAAATCGACTCTGAAACCCCTGGTGAATGATGAGAAAAATGCAAACAAAGTCTGAGATCTTTTGAGTTCAAAATATGGGCAATTTTGGAAAATTACTATCTTCGGTGCAATGTCCTTGAAAGTTTTATTCTTTAGCTATCGTTTTCAAGCCAAATTACAAGCTAATAAAGTCCATCGTTCACTTATTCCTTCATGACAACCCAAAGTGAGGATTATGCTTGTGAGAAATCCATCAATCATTTGTGATCATGGGAGTATAACTGTGACAGCCCCACCTTCCCCTAAGGCGTACCAAAAGGGTTAGCGGACTGCCTGCCCAGCTCTCGCCAGGACTACTAAAACGGTAAAACAGTAACTCAAGGCGTTCGGGAATCTACTAGCACGCTTAACCAAGCCAACAATCAAGAAATGGAAAAACAAATGTCAAAACATAACGTGAATAGTGACTACCACGTCACAATCAGCCAGGACCCAATCAAATGCAAATAACTGCTTACAATCCCTGAAAGGAATATATATACAAGCCAAGTATACTACATGGAACATGAATACACACACTGTTACCAACCACATTTGTATGATTACAAGCCAAAAGGAAACATGTAAACTCAAGTACAATCAAGTTGCCAACTATTGAGGAGCTATACAAAATCTCTCAACCAGCTCCACTCAACTCATCTTCAACTCACAAATCCAAAAGGTAAATCCCTGTAAGGAAAACAAAATTCACGGAGTGAGCTTTCGCCCAATGAGGTACCATCACCAACATATACCAGGATCACATAAACACAAGAATATTCAGTCCAAATCGCACGTCAAGAAAGTAAAATCAACAACACCCAAGTGTAGGGAATAAAAGGATACGGATGGCTCTCAAGAGCCCTTTTCCTCTTTTGCCATGCTTGATCTCATCTCATTGACTCTCCGTCAATGTATACCAGGTAATCATGACCGTAGACTCCTCTTTACTCCAATTATCCGTCCACCTCACTTTCCCCTTACCGGGCCCGAACACCAAACAGTACAGAATTGGTATTACTCGAGTATACCGGAATCAAGGGTCTCATACCCAAAGATTCCCAAATACAGTCCCCATGGCTTGTCAAATGTCCCCGACCAAGTCCTTACTGGCTCGAGTCCATTGACTTCCAATGAGGTAGAGCTCAGAGTGAACACTAAAGTTGGTATCCAAGCGATACCAAATCCAGTACAGTCAATAATATTCAAGTAATATCATAAACAGTCAAGTAAGCTTAGTATAATAACCAGTCAAAGAGGCTAGAGAGTACGAGAGTGGTAAAGTACACCCTCGCCTCACCTAGCTCAAACAATCATCACAACTAGTCCAAACCACAGAATTCAAGTACAAGAAAGCCACGGAATAACAAACATGTGAGTAGTACACTCACCAAGTTCAACAAAGAAATTTCACAAGTTTTCGCCCGACGTGAGCCTCGGATCACCGGCACGCCCTATAACAATCAAGAAAGTACAATGAAAACGCAAACACAAGTCGAATACCTTTTTCTAGGAACTATTAAGGCAAGACCCAAATATAGCTTGGAAATGAAAAATACATAACATTTAGGGTTAAAAGTAGAAATAAACCCTAAGATTATTCACTTCTATCAAATCTCAACCCAACACATAAGAATCTAATACCCTAGCCACTCGGACAGCATTTCCCCTAAAATTTCAGCTTTTCCAACCTGCCAGACAACCAATAAAACTATCCAACACAACCACAAGCACCCAAACAAGTCATAAGCCATTCAATATACTTCATTAGGGTCACAATACCCTTCAATTATAGCCAATTAGAAGGTCAACAATCAACAATAGAAAACCCCCAATTTGAAACCCTAAATCTGAAATTTTCCGCACAAACGGAAATTGTCCGCAATTAACCACAATTAACGCACAAGAGAGCTATAAAATGCCATCTAGAACCATCAATTCCAGCTCAATCATCTCAATCATAGGAAAACAGAAAAAAAATCCAGAAAAATCAGAAAATTAGGAAACTTCACTCCAATCCACCAAATCTTCCGAAAAATCACGTATAGAGCTACTATAAGGCACCACTTGGCCAAAATTAGAAACAAAAGATGAGTTTCAAGCAAGATACCTTAGATCTTCAAGAAAGGTTGAAGCTTAGAGGGTTTCCTTCCAAAATAACACCACCAAGGTCTTCAAACACTCCTAGCAAGATGATTCTACGGACTAATTCAAGAAACAATCGGTTGATTTTCAAGATTGAGCAAGGATTTGGAGAGAGAAGGTTAAGGAATTTTCCCTTTTCTTGCTAGAGGAATTTCGGCCAAGAAGGAATGAAGAATGAAGATGATTTGGTCCAATTTTTGACTTTTATGTAATGACAAGAAAGTTAGGCAAAGTTAGGTAGCTTGGTCCAATAACACTTTGACACTTGTCACTTTGTTTTGTTTAGAGTTATCCTCTTGTCCCTCATGGCTAATCCATCTAGGCAACCTCCAATTATCTCCTAATACCTAGTAACAACATCCCTTTACGCAAAACTTTAACCTAATGGGCCGAATTTCTCTCACTTAATGCACTAGCGGGTCCCACGCCCAAATTACGTACCAAATTTCTCACCAACTACCCTATACTAGAAAAATGATTTAAGAACTATATTTACTGATAAAATGTTGATAAAAGTAATATATAAAGAAATTAAAAGAAAACGGGTGCACAGGAATAAAATAATAAATAAATAAATAAATAAATAAATAAATTTTTTTTTTTCTGGGTTCTCACACTCTCTCTCCTTAAAGAATTTCACCCTCGAAATTGCTCACCTGGGTTACTAAATAGCTCAGGGTATTTCTTTTGCATCTCTTCCTCCAACTCCCAAGTTGCCTCTTCTATTCCATGATTTCTCCACAAAACCTTTACCAATGGAATTTGCTTATTCCTCAGTTCCTTAATCCTTCGATCGAGTACTTGTAGGAGTGTTTATAAGAAAAGCTAGGAACCCTTGGGCCCCTTTATACAGAAATTTCCTAGCCCGAATACCCGAAATCAATGCAGATGAGGCTAAACTACCCCTTATATCGAGCCTTAGGGTTGCCTCCCCCGGTATACGAAATTCCACTATTTTTCTCTTACAATCAAGTTGTGCATCGTACTTAGCTAGCCAGTCCATACCCAATATAACGTCGTACCCCTTAATAGCTAAACTTATAAGATTCCCCAAAAGCTTCCTCTCTCCTACCCAAATTTCGCAATTTGTATACATCAAACCAGTAATCAAACGTTGGTCCCCCGTAGGAGTACTAACTTCTAAGTCATAAGGCAAGCTAACAGGGGTTATATCAATGCCGCACATAAAATTGGGGTTAACAAAGGAATGGGTAGCACCAGGGTCGATCAAAATCCTAGCTAGACGATGAAAAACAGGGATCGTACCTTCTACAACCCCAGAGGAATCAGGGACTTGTTGTTGCTCAAGGGAGTAAACCCGAGCTGGCACCTTTGGCTTTGTCCCTTCTACCTTGGACTGTCCCGAGTTAGCCTTCGACGACTGGGTGGTTACTCTAGCCTCCCGAGGTAACACCGGACAGTTAGCTATTTGATGCTCCGCACTCCCGCAGCGCAAGCATTTCCTTTCTTTCCTCCAACAGTTGTCCTCAGTGTGGTTTGGTTTCCCACAAAATCCACAGGGTCCACGTGCAACTGAGGCCGAACTTCCTTGTGAGACGCTTCTCTGCGGGCCCCGTCCATTGTGACCACCCCTCGGCGGAGTCCCTCGTGTCATCCCGTTGCCTTCCTCCCCCGGCTCCTCTTCCAAACTTGGGAGGGGTCCCTTTATCCCCTTGGGTCGAACTACTGCAGAGAACCCCCGTTTTTTCACCTGAAAGTTTCTTACTTGAAGCCTGGCATTTTCAACTCGCAAAGCTTTCTCCACGGCGTCACTAAAGATATTGATCTGGGCTACCGCCAGATCCTTTTGAATTTCCACATTGAGCCCTTGAATAAAACGCCGAACTCTCCTTTGCTCCGTTAGAATGAGTTCAGGGGCGAACTTAGATAAACGAGTAAACTGGCTCTCGTACTCAGCCACCGATTGCGTCCCCTGACGGAGTCTAATGAACTCGTCCTCCTTCTTTTCCTGGACTAGAGGGGGAAAGTATTTCGCATTGAAGTCCCTCACAAAGTTTACCCATGTTCTTGGGGTTTGTTCCCGGTCCCACTTCATTCGTATCACGTTCCACCAAGAACGCGCGGCCCCTTCCAATTGGAAGACAGCGAAAGTAACCTGCCTCTCCTCTGAATAGTGTAGGGCGGCGAAAATATCTATCATTTTCTCTAACCATTTTTCGGCCACGTCCGGATCTGGCCCGCCCAGAAATTTTGGTGGAGAGAACTTCTGAAATCTCTCTAGGGCCCGATCTTCACTCTCTACTACATGGCCAGGGTTCCCAGGTTGCTGGATAGGAGGTTGGCCCTGCTGTTGCACTACGTGGGCTAACAAGTCGGTCATTTGCTGCATAGCAGCAGCTATTTGGGCATTAGGGTCAACCCTAGGTTCAGGATTTGGTTCAGTCATGGTATCCCTAGTACCCTCGTCAGTTGTGGGTTGCCTAACCCCGCGCCCGCGGCCTCGTCCACTACGAGTGCCTTCCATTGCTCTAATGTCACTCTAAAGTCGAGGTACAAAATAATATTAAAAGTGCATATCAATATAGTCACATAAGCATGATCGAAGAACCAAAATAAACACCACATAAGATATGTATACACAGAACACATAACTGTGACAAACAGTCATACATGAGCAGTCAAGCAAATATATTACAAAAGTACTCCCGTGAAGCCAAAAGAGGGTCTGTCAAAATACACTGTACAACCTAGGCCCCAAAAGGTACAAAAGGTACAAAACAGCTAACCAAAAGCTTCTCCTAGGTATCCCTCACACGGGATCAAAACCCTAATCTAGTCCTCGACGGAGCCAACCGACTCCCCCCAGAGCTAGAGCTAGGGCGCCTCCCTGACCTGGAGCTCCGCCACCTGGAACTCCCCCTGGCGCATTGGCGCCAATCACTCCCTGGATGAGTGCCCCACACTCATGGATAATAGCGCCGGACCGGTCTCTCACCTCCCGGACTACCTAGTGAGGCGGTCTGTTAACCACCTGCAACTGCTCTCTCAGAGCGTTCGTCCTCTCCTGCTCCATGGCCACGTCCCCCTGGAGCTCGCCAATCCTATCGGCCTGCATCCGCGTGATGCCCTAAGCCTAAGGGTCTCAGTGTGCTCCCTGGCGGCGGCACACCTAAGCCTCCCGTCGCTCAGCAAGCACTGCCACAACCACGTGGTCTGCGTAAGAATAAAACTGGCAACGCTTACAGCGGCGGCGTCCGGCTAGCGGTATACCACAGCCGGATCGGACCTCCTGGTCTCTCCTGGAAGTCGATAACCCGTGGGCCGCCTCTGAGGTGGCTCGTCTCCGCCCGCTCCACTAGTGCACCATAACTACAAAGATAACAAAGGTTTATAGCTGAGACAATATATTCACACTTAATGGCGTCAAAAGCAATCCAAAAGTTCGAAGGACCAGGTTTAGGTTCGCCCAGGGTAATTCTAACCTAGGCTCTGATACCACCTGTGACAGCCCCACCTTCCCCTAAGGCGTACCAAAAGGGTTAGCGGACTGCCTGCCCAACTCTCGCCAGGACTACTAAAACGGTAAACAGTAACTCAAGGCGTTCGGGAATCTACTAGCACGCTTAACCAAGCCAACAATCAAGAAATGGAAAAACAAATGTCAAAACATAACGTGAATAGTGACTACCACGTCACAATCAGCCAGGACCCAATCACATGCAAATAACTGCTTACAATCCCTGAAAGGAATATATATACAAGCCAAGTATACTACATGGAACATGAATACACACACTGTTACCAACCACATTGGTATGATTACAAGCCAAAAGGAAACATGTAAACTCAAGTACAATCAATTGCCAACTATTGAGGAGCTATACAAAATCTCTCAACCAGCTCCACTCAACTCATCTTCAACTCACAAATCCAAAAGGTAAATCCCTGTAAGGAAAACAAATTCACGGAGTGAGCTTTCGCCCAATGAGGTACCATCACCAACATATACCAGGATCACATAAACACAAGAATATTCAGTCCAAATCGCACGTCAAGAAAGTAAAATCAACAACACCCAAGTGTAGGGAATAAAAGGATACGGATGGCTCTCAAGAGCCCTTTTCCTCTTTTGCCATGCTTGATCTCATCTCATTGACTCTCCGTCAATGTATACCAGGTAATCATGACCGTAGACTCCTCTTTACTCCAATTATCCGTTCACCTCACTTTCCCCTTACCGGACCCGAACACCAAACAGTACAGAATTGGTATTACTCGAGTATACCGGAATCAAGGGTCTCATACCCAAAGATTCCCAAATACAGTCCCCATGGCTTGTCAAATGTCCCCGACCAAGTCCTTACTGGCTCGAGTCCATTGACTTCCAATGAGGTAGAGCTCAGAGTGAACACTAAAGTTGGTATCCAAGCGATACCAAATCCAGTACAGTCAATAATATTCAAGTAATATCATAAACAGTCAAGTAAGCTTAGTATAATAACCAGTCAAAGAGACTAGAGAGTACGAGAGTGGTAAAGTACACCCTCGCCTCACCTAGCTCAAACAATCATCACAACTAGTCCAAACCACAGAATTCAAGTACAAGAAAGCCACAGAATAACAAACATGTGAGTAGTACACTCACCAAGTTCAACAAAGAAATTTCACAAGTTTTCGCCCGACGTGAGCCTCGGATCACCGGCACGCCCTATAACAATCAAGAAAGTACAATGAAAACGCAAACACAAGTCGAATACCTTTTTCTAGGAACTATTAAGGCAAGACCCAAATATAGCTTGGAAATGAAAAATACATAACATTTAGGGTTAAAAGTAGAAATAAACCCTAAGATTATTCACTTCTATCAAATCTCAACCCAACACATAAGAATCTAATACCCTAGCCACTCGGACAGCATTTCCCCTAAAATTTCAGCTTTTCCAACCTGCCAGACAACCAATAAAACTATCCAACACAACCACAAGCACCCAAACAAGTCATAAGCCATTCAATATACTTCATTAGGGTCACAATACCCTTCAATTATAGCCAATTAGAAGGTCAACAATCAACAATAGAAAACCCCCAATTTGAAACCCTAAATCTGAAATTTTCCGCACAAACGGAAATTGTCCGCAATTAACCACAATTAACGCACAAGAGAGCTATAAAATGCCATCTAGAACCATCAATTCCAGCTCAATCATCTCAATCATAGGAAAACAGAAAAAAAATCCAGAAAAATCAGAAAATTAGGAAACTTCACTCCAATCCACCAAATCTTCCGAAAATCACGTATAGAGCTACTATAAGGCACCACTTGGCCAAAATTAGAAACAAAAGATGAGTTTCAAGCAAGATACCTTAGATCTTCAAGAAAGGTTGAAGCTTAGAGGGTTTCCTTCCAAAATAACACCACCAAGGTCTTCAAACACTCCTAGCAAGATGATTCTACGGACTAATTCAAGAAACAATCGTTGATTTTCAAGATTGAGCAAGGATTTGGAGAGAGAAGGTTAAGGAATTTTCCCTTTTCTTGCTAGAGGAATTTCGGCCAAGAAGGAATGAAGAATGAAGATGATTTGGTCCAATTTTTGACTTTTATGTAATGACAAGAAAGTTAGGCAAAGTTAGGTAGCTTGGTCCAATAACACTTTGACACTTGTCACTTTGTTTTGTTTAGAGTTATCCTCTTGTCCCTCATGGCTAATCCATCTAGGAAACCTCCAATTATCTCCTAATACCTAGTAACAACATCCCTTTACGCAAAACTTTAACCTAATGGGCCGAATTTCTCTCACTTAATGCACTAGCGGGTCCCACGCCCAAATTACGTGCCAAATTTCTCACCAACTACCCTATACTATAAAAATGATTTAAAAACTATATTTACTGATAAAATGTTGATAAAAGTAATATAATAAAGAAATTAAAAGAAAACGGGTGCACAGGAATAAAATAATAAATAAATAAATAAATAAATTTTTTTTTCTGGGTTCTCACAATAACCAGTTTTCACGGGTTTAGCTATCGTTTCTACCCATTTGTTGCAAGCTTAAAGCTTATATGTTGACTCAATTTTCTTAAGAAATAAGGGTGACAAACTATTTGTTTTCACTAAGATGTGGTATTGAAGGGATTACATACCATTTGGGCACAAGAATAAGACAAATCTTGACCTCCCATTTCCAAATCAGACATAACACCTATTACCCAAAGCATCGATGCTAAAGTGAGGAAGAAATCTTTTGTAATTTGGCATTATTTTGAGAAATTCATCATGAAATTTTCTGTGTGATTTTAAGCAAGACGTTTAGATTTCTTCCATTATATAGGAAACACAGTTTCTTACTTTGTTCAAATAAATGGAGAGGCATCCAAAACCAATTTTTGCAATCAAATGGGCCCATACTGGGGCAAAATTCTTATTTGCAAGATTTCGCAAAATAAGCCCACACTGGGGCAAATTTTTTTATAGCTCGTTTGAGGATTTCGTCAAAGAGTCAGGCAAGACTTTCAAATCAATCACGCTGCCCTTTTCATGAAAATTTGAGTGCATGTAAGCCCCCTGTGCAGGTATTCATAGTTGAAATCGACGAAAGAGCATCCGATGATGTGGAAGGCCGATGCCGAAGAAAGAGAAGAAAGAAGGGAAAAGGGTCCTACACTGGGGGCAAATTATTTTTGAAAAAGATTCTCTCGAAAAATCAGAAAAATTCAAAAGTCAAAAATCAAAAGTCAAGTTCAAATTCTTGTTTCTTGGAAAATCAAATTTAATTGCTTGTTTCTTGACAAATCAAATTCAATTTCTTGACCAATTGGATGGCAGGACTGGGTCTTATCCCATTGACCATTCACAAAAGTCACGTTGGGCCTGGATTTTGTGCCGCCAACTTCACAAAAGTCACGTTGGGCTTGGTTTTCGTGCCACCAACTTCACAAAAGTCACGTTGGGCCTGGATTTTGTGCCGCCAACTTCACAAAAGTCATATTGGGATTGTTTTTCATTTCCCCCACCGTTAGCATCGAGTTTATCTCACTAACGTGTGCATTTCTATTCCACCACCGTTAGCATCGAGTCTATCTCACTAACGTGTGCGTTTTTTCTTCTACCACCGTTAGCATCGAGTCTATCTCACTAACGAGTGCGTTTTCATTCAACCACCGTTAGCATCGAGTCTATCTCACTAATGTGTGCGT